AAAATGTTCACAGGTCTACTGTCGTTCCAACAGGGTTCAAAAGTGGACTCACTGGATCGAAAAACACAAAGGCTTTTAGATAAATCCTATGGCACTTAAAGTCCTTCTTGTCCTGTATTTAAATGAGTCCTTTTCTCTCCCGTTATCCACATCAGCCTCTGGACGTAAAAGTTGACGTTCATTACCCAGAGATGGTAACATTTTAAAAACAAAAACAAAAACAAAAACGCCCAGAAAACTAGAGATCGGGCTCTGGGACGTGTGCCTCTTCAGGTCTACCAGGGAAAGTCGCTGGATACTAATTTGACGTTCTTAGAAATGTGTCTGATGCTCTCTTTGCAGAAGGACATAGCTTGAAATATCATTATCTACTGCCATCTTTAGGCTGGCGGAGGAAAGGAAGAAATAGCCTCCCAGGTAGCACATTGCGCAAACTGGATACCTCAATATTGACGCACCGCCAACCAATTCAGAAGAGAAATAAATCGATTTGCTCCATCTTGTTCATGCTGCTTGGTTGCGTAACAGGTTTCCATGCTGAAAATAGCACCAGCTGGACACTGTGCTACTCAATATCCCACCTTTAGAAATGAAGAATCAGACCCAAGCCCAACCCAGAGTCATACTGCTCCCTGAGTCCCCCTGCGTTTTCTAGCGAGGGGACACTCAGAAAGCAGCAGGATAAAATGGCGTATCTCACAACCCCATTTCCAGCCAAAGCTATAATCTTCCTCCTGAGGACTCTTCAGTGACCCTTCGGAAAGCCAACAAACCCAAACGACAAGCAGAGACCAACAGTACTCTTAGATTTCAAAGGGGGAAACATGGCATAAAAGTAATAAAATAAATAACGAATATGGATTGATACAATTTAGGCTCTGTTCCTTTAATTATTCATTTACTCCACCGTTCAACAGGTGCTCACTGCACATTTGCTGTATCCGAGGTATCCTTCTAGGTACCTGAAGATAGATGATGTAGAACACTCTGCCCAAGGGGCCTCAAGCCTCACAGGAAAGCACCCAGGCTTCTAAATGGATGGCCTCGAGGTCACGTGATGAACTGCACAGACAAGAAGGCGGCAGATGTGACTGACAGGAGAAGAGAGAGGAGGTGTATACTATTTGGTACAGCGGAGAATCTTTCAGAAAGGCAAGCTTTTTATCAAGAGCTTAACAAATGGACAAAGTTTGGCCAAACAGAGAGCTAGCATTCCAGGGACAATCAGCCAGTCTACGCACACCAGAGTCTGTCAGGTCCGTTCGTGGTGAGGAGTTAGGATAGCTCAACTATAACGCATGCAGAAACGTGTGATATGAGGGCAGGTTAAAGGTAGCCTGTATAGGATATACTCTGCTGTGTTTATCTTAAAGGTAGCAGGAATTATTTAGGGGACTTAAGTGACAGTGACATGATCAAATTTGTACTTGAGGGGGAAAAAGACAGTCACAATTATGAAAGGTGGCTTGGCGAGAAGCTAGCAGACTGTCCAGATTAGAAGACACCAAACTCTGCAGAGACCAGAGTTGGTAGAAAACAGAGAAAACAGAGGACTTCACATTGCTTCGTTCTTACTGATAAGGGACTTACAGGGATGGGGTAGATGGAAGTGTTGATACTGGCTTGTCCATTTCTGTTTCACGTAGATGAAGCTCCACCTGTTTCTTCACCAGAAAAGAATACAAGGAATAGAACCAGGTTACCCTGGAGATGAAAATGGGTTAAATGTGAGCCATTTTAACTTCCTCTTAATGTAAATACGTATAGTGAATTCATATGATATGAAGAGCAAAAGTGGGAAAAACTACTCAGAGAAGTTTTCCTTTAAAAAAAAAAGGTGATTAAGGGGCGCCTGGGTGGCGCAGTCGGTTAAGCGTCCGACTTCAGCCAGGTCACGATCTCGTGGTCCGTGAGTTCGAGCCCCACGTCAGGCTCTGGGCTGATGGCTCGGAGCCTGGAGCCTGTTTCCGATTCTGTGTCTCCCTCTCTCTCTCTGCCCCTCCCCCGTTCATGGTCTGTCTCTCTCTGTCCCAAAAATAAATAAAAAACGTTGAAAAAAAAATTTTTAAAAAGTGATTAAAAAAAAAGTAAAATAAAGATCGTGATTTACTCAACCGTTGTGCTAGAAGCTACTGCCTAGAACCGCACCCAGGACCAGTAGCACAGGGTAAAATATAAAATGGGCTCATCAAATACTGGCTTAGATTTAAATGAAATGTGTTATGTTTTTTAGGCAATGGAAAGAAAGCACAGTGACGATAGATCAACTAGTAGGAAATAACACGGATCAAGGTAATTCTGAGAGTCGGACTCTTGATTCCCTTAGCTGCTCATGCAGCACCCGGCCCCTGCCCATCCTCAGATGCTTTGCTGGATCAGAGGAGCTCTCCTCCAAACTCCACAGATTCTGGGATTCTCCCTGCTAAGCCGAGGACACAACTTACTTCCCCTGAGCCCCAATCAGAGTCCTTCAAGGGAGAAAGGCAAGGGAGAAGAAGCATTACTCGTTGAAGGACACTTTTCATTTTTAATGTTTATTTATTTATTTTGAGAGAGGGCACAAGTGGGGAAGGCGCAGAGAGAGAGGGAGAGAGAATCCCAAGCAGGTTCTGCACTGCCAGTTCAGAGCCCAGCACGGGTCTCGAACTCACGAACCATGAGATCATGACCTGAGCCGAAGCCAAGAGTCAGACACTTAACTGACTGAGTCACCCAGGAGCCCCAACTTTGAAGGACCCTTGAAGCCAATTCCATCCAACAAAATCGTCCTCCTCTCTCTGACTTGAAACAATGCAAACACCTAATACCTTTTGTATATTCTATGTCTCCAATTAAATCTTTAGACATATGAAATACAATAATAATAACTGTTGCAATATCCTTGTCCAGTCACTCAAAACTCTGTGTCATTTCTAGTTTGGTTTTGGTTGAGCTTCCTACTCATAAAGGTCATATCTTTCTGCCTCTTTAATGCATGGCCTTTGTTGATTAGATGCCCATCCACTGTGAATGCCACCCTTACTGGCCCTGGATTTTTTTTTTTTTTTTTTTTTTTTTTTGGTATTCCCATAAATATTCTTGAACTTTGTTCTGAAAAGCAGTTGGTTATTTGGAAGCAATTTGATCCTTTTAGGTCTTGCATTTAAGACCGTTACACAGTTCCAGAGCAGTGTTTAGTCTAGGGCAACTGATTCCTCACTGCAGAGAAATACCAAGTACTCAGATGCCCATGAATTACGAGGTATCTGATGGAGCTAGCAGGTAATTTTTCCTTGGACTTGTGTTATGGGCTGAATCACGTCCCCGCAAAGATCTTGCACTCCAGAATTGCAAAGGAATAAATTTCTGTTGTTTAAATGATATGTGTTATCAGGGTTCAAGGTGAGTGATAAAATCTGGTGCTGGGACGGGGGTGGGGGGGTGCTTCTGTTACAAAAACCTAAAAATGTGGAAGTCACTTTGGAACTGGACCATGGGAAGAGGCTGGAAGTTTTGAGATGCATGTTAGAAGAGGCATAGATTGCCTTCAAGAGGCATTTGGCACAAACATGACTGTTGAAGATAACTCTGGTGGAGGCTGAAAAAGAAGAGAGCTGTTGAGAAAGTTTCTCTGAGAGATACATATGTCATCACAAATAGAATGTTGTTAGAAGTATGGATATTAAAGGTGCTTCTGGTGAGGTCTCAGAGGGAAATGCTGAACATGTTATTGGGCCAGATGAAAGGCCTTTCTTGTTCTACAGGTGTAGAACTTGGTTAAATTGTGTCCTACTGTTTTATGGAAGGTAACATTTGCAAGTGATGAACTTGGCTATTTAGCTGAGGATATTCCTGTTCAAAGTGTTGAGGGGGCACCTGGTTTCTCCTTGCTGCTTGTAACAAAATGCAAGGAGTCAGAGAGAGAGAGAGAGAGAGAGAGAGAGAGAGAGAGAGAGAGGAATTGAAGAAACCATTGTTAAGCATAGGGGAACCAGAACTTGAAGATTTGGAAAATTCTGAGCCTATCTATATTGCGAAACTAAGAAAGCATATTTTGGAGAGAACATCACGAGTATGACTACATAATAATTTGTTAAAAGATGACTGATGTGTGATTTATGGATCCAGTCAGCCATCTCAGCAGAAGCCGGGGATAGGCATTGGGTTATACCTTTAGAAACACTGCAGAGATGGGATGAAATGAAGGAAGGCAGTTGGACTTCTGAGATTCTATAAGATAGACTACCAGAGCTTTTCTGGTGTAACATGCTATCCTTCAAGAAAAGGAAATAATGACCCTCAGGGTGGTTCAAACGTGGGCAGGAATGGTGATTCTACCAAGAGCCAGAAGGCCAAGGCCTGAGGGGTCAGGGTCACTGTTCACAGTCAAAAGAACAGAGTCACTCCATTTGGACTGGTTGGTCTAAAAAGGCAGGGCCACTAACCAGGTGCATGGAGCCAAAAAGGATTATTCCTGAACCTGAAAATCTTAGGGAATTTTCTCTGCTAAGTTTCAGACGTGCTTGGAACCCATCACCCTTTTCTTCTTTCTAATTTCTCCCTTTTAGAATTGGAATGTTTATCCTCTACCTGTCCCACCATTGTATTTGGGAAGCAGTTAACTTTTCTAGTTGCACAGATTCATAGCTGGAGAGGGATTTCGTCTCAGGATGAATCATACCTTGAGTCTCACCCACACCAGATTTAGATGATATTTAGATGAAACTTTAGAGTATATGATAGAATGAGTTAAGATATTTGGGGCTGTTGGGATGGAGTTAATGTATTCTGTATGAAAGAAGAACATGAGGGGAGCTTGGGTGGTTCAGTCAGTTAGGCAACCGACTCTTTTTTTTTTTTTTAAATTTTTTTTTTCAACGTTTATTTATTTTTGGGACAGAGAGAGACAGAGCATGAACGGGGGAGGGGCAGAGAGAGAGGGAGACACAGAATCGGAAACAGGCTCCAGGCTCTGAGCCATCAGCCCAGAGCCCGACGCGGGGCTCGAACTCACAGACCGCGAGATCGTGACCTGGCTGAAGTCGGACGCTTAACCGACTGCGCCACCCAGGCGCCCCAGGCAACCGACTCTTAATCTCAGCTCAGGTCTTGATCTCAGGTCATGAGTTCAAGCCCTGCATTGGGCTCCACGCCGGGCATGAAGCCTATTTTTAATAGGCTTTAATAATGCAGCTTCCTTTTCCGGCAATATGGTGAACTAGAACGCTAAAGAAATATACCTGGTACAGAATACGAAAAGGTTTGGAATACCTTTGTTTTTCCAGATTCACTGTTGTATTGATAAGAAAGCCAAGGAAAAATTCAGAGTCCAGAAACACTGACAAATGTGAATCGAGAGCTAGATAAAAGCCACTTTCATGACAAACTCAATTTTTATCTCACGGTCAGGGTCCGATGGACAGGATATGACATGTTATAAAATTGCAAAGCAGAAGCAGAATTAAGTCGTCAGGAAGAAGAATCAGTAGAAAAAAATAACCGGCAGATGAAAGTTTCCAAAGCTAATTGGTGTTGGAATGAACAGATTCAGAATAGAAAAAAGCACACACATTTAAAGAGCTAAAAGACCAGAGAACAACAGAAATAAGAAACCAAACTAGCCTGTAGATTGAAATATATCCATAAAATAATTAAGATTAAAAAAATATGGTTGTGTTCAGCAGCATACCCAGAAGGCAGCCTAATGAGATAGGGTTGGAGGAAAGGAATGAAAGAATAGTTTAAAGATGTAGCAGAAGGTGAAAAGATTAACCTGTATCTAGCTGTAGTCCCAAAGTAGACATTATTCATAAAACTACAGCTAAATATTTTCCAGTAGGGAGAGAAAGAAGGAAATGGCAAGGGAAAAAGAAAAAAAAAAAATCAGCACTCGAGCCTGTGACTTCCCAGATGTGAAGTACCTGTCTTAAAAGTTATACAGAAATTTCAAATCATCAGGTTTAAAGGGAAGAACTCAAAACCTTCAGAGGGAAAATACAGGTTATAAAGAAAGACTGGAGAATCAGGGAGGCCATTATATTTTTCAATGCAGGGCAGAAGCTTATAGAAGTAAGATGATGCGTATGTTCAAATGTTGAGGGGAAATGTTTTTCAAACCTAGAAGTCTAAACTCAGCCGGGCTTAATAATCCAGATGAGCAGAAAATAGACATTTTCACCATACAATTCATCCGAATTTTACCTGTTGTTCACTTACAGGAAGGTAGCAGAGGTTGTGCTTCAACATTTTAGAGGATTAAAAACATAAAGGAGACAAAAGATTTGGTAAAGAGATGATTCAGCAGAGGGGCAAGCAAAGGTGTTTCCCAGAGATGGGTGAACGGAAGTTTCGGGATGACTGCCGTGCTAGGGAGCCCTAGGGAGCACCTCTCAGATGGCAGCAAGACCACGGACAGCTAGGGAGCCCTAGGGAGCACCTTGCATCGCAGCAAGACCACAGACAGCTCCAGAAGAGCCGTCCCCAAGAGGAAATCAACAAAAGTAGACCTGATTGAGAACAAGGTGTCTTTATGATTCTGAGATGTGGTTTCTAGTTCTTCTGGAGCAGTAGTTCTCAATGAGGGTGATTCTTTTTTTCCTCGGGAGACATTTGACAACGTCTGGAGACATTTGTGGTTGTTGCAACAAGATGGGGGTGCCGCTGGTATTGGGTAGGACAAGACCAGGGATGCGCCTGAACATCCTACAGTGCACAGG